AGGGGAAGGCATTTGGGGAGTACACGCACGCTACATGTATCAGCTGACTCAAAGCTGACAGCTCTAGCAGGTGCGCTTCTTTTGAATATAATGCGATTTCAAATATAATTAGCCTGCAGTTATAGTGGATCTGAATTCAATTGCCAGATACACTATTTTTTTTGCTACTTACTTTAATTTTTAAATGGAAAACCAAAAATAATACTAATGAAGAACAGAAAAAAAACTTTTTTAGAACGAAATACTTATTGCAAAAATGAAATATAGTGCTCTGAAAAATCGACTTGTAAAGCTTATTCTACAAATACTTGTTCATAAAAAAAGTCAAAATTTGTATAAACAATTGTTCCCAGAATGACAACTTTTTATTTCTTAATTTTGAAGACTTTTAAGGAATTGAATAATGAATAAAATAAGTCTAGTAGTCCGGGCGAATTAGTTTTTTTTTTTTCAAAAATCGGGCCTACTTCGAATTTTATGGGTTTAAAATTAAATAAAAAATACACAGAATAAAAGCCTAAATTTGTGTATTTGTAGAGGTCGAGCGTCATATTGTTTATAACAAAAGAAAATAAAATAATTGCTTTTTTTCAGTTTTTCACTTATATCTCCGAAAATAAGCCTCTAATCGACATGAGGTATATTTATTGATTTTGTTCCTAAGGAAATTTGCTACAAGGGTAGGCTTTTGCGAAAGTTCACAAATTCTGGTTTAGATACATAATAAAAATGGAGTTGTGGGTAAAATGTTGTCATTTTACTCGAGGACACAAATTATATAATTATTAATAAATATTAATCTGAAAATTAAATACAAATGATCCTAGGTGTCCGTTCTAGTGAGTGAAGTAGTTTGGTTATTGAGCCTGACCTAGTTCTGTCGTAAATGCAATATATTGACAGACTAACAGTATGGTTAAAATTGAGGTACTTTGGCATTTATTTAAATTATTCTTCTGTTCTCATAAGCATTGAAATTTATCTCATTCACTAGCGGGAACCATTGCGAATACATTGATATATAATAATATTCAATTATGTAGTTTCTTCGATGATTTGTGTCATCTGAAGCTCTGTTACACGGTAAAAATATACATACTAAATCGCCCCCTTAAAGGAATTTCATCATGTTTAATAGAATATACTGCGGAAAAAGCACAAACTTCATTCCTTAGGCACAAATAAGTAAAAAATTATATAAACACTAATTCTGAAATGCCTTTTTCCAAGATTAAAAAAAATATATATGATTTTTTTTATATTTAAATGTGTAATGATAGGTTTCCAAAATTCGATACAGCAATTACTGGATAAATACAAAATAAAATAAGTCGAACACTCTGTGTACTTAGCACATATTCATGGTGTTTATAGTCCTATATAGAGATCTCATTAAAACTATTTAGTCGGTTCATAATTTATTATTTCTTCCCCATAACTTAATAACAATAATTGTTCCCGCACGTGGCGGGAAAATTCCTGTCATACCCATGGATGTTTGTGATTGTTAAGGTGGAAGGTAGTGTAAGTTAATAGACAAAAAGGGCCAAGCATGGCCCAATTGCTGGTAAGCTTCATGACTACCTTTTTTTTTTTGGAATTGTGTAATAATGATTATTTTGTTTTGCAAAAGAAATTAGTGTTCCAAAAGAATTATATGTTAATACAAATAAATAACTGAATTTGAACAAGTTTGATACCTACATAAAAATATCAAACAAAAATGGTCTTTCGTTGACTGAGAACTATGATAGGTGGTTTTAGTTTTCAGCTCAACTGTTCTAAAGCAGGAAACTGGAACTATAATATTTTAATGCCTAGTCAGTAGTGGCAAATCCCAAATGAGCTATCAGCACTTGAATATAAATCTATTCTAGTATATGTACCTTAAATATGTGTACACATATTTTTAACTGTGGATATAATTAATGATGTAAATGAGCCCACAGACAATTATTTTTTAATATTACAAATATTTATGGAATATTTTCTAAAATTTGTCCCTAAGTGGTTTTATAATAAGTACATTAAAATTAAATTATGCATTAATCATAACCCTAATTTTAATTTCTTAACGAAGAACAGCCTAAACGATTTAAAATTAAATTTCGGTGAATTAAACTATAGTTAAGTTTGAAATTGCAAGCAAATGTAACAAAAATACAATTAGTTATTGAAAATAAGGTTCTTAGAGCCATTTTCAAAATAATGTAAAATGTTAAGCTTTAGTTTTTTGTGAGTTAAATAATCTTTTGAGATGATATGAAGAAACTTTGAAATATCTTCATAAAGATGTTTATGACCTCCTTTTGCTCTTGCCATTCTTATTTTTGTCAATAAATAATTTCTGCCTTATACTGAGCTTTTACTGTGAAATGCACATCTTACAAAATGTGTACACCAAATCGTAATTTGTATAACTTTTCTTTAAAATTTCTTACTTTTATGTTCAATTAACCACATTTCCTTGAAATTTGTAACAAATGTGCACTGAATGTATTGGATAGTTGGTTTTTGTCGTATTTATCAACTTACATTCTTTTGCAATATTTCTTGCACAGAAAATACACTTTTAACATCATTTTCACTATTGTGTAAACCCCATATTTCACTCGAATACACTAAAAATATAAAGTGAAGACATTTAAAAGAAAAACACCATCCGTGAATATAACAAATTGACACATGACAACCTGACCAACCTAATAAAACATAATTAGATCAGTTCAATATGTTATTTTATTTAAACAAAATCAAAATATGTATTCCTCAATTCAAATTTACCTAATACATATTCTTTTGCATATCATAATCAATTTTTTAAATTAATGTTTAATGTGCTGTGAGGTTATGTGTTTATTATGAACACCAAGGAAGTATTAATTTTTGTATTTTAAATATATTTTATTTTAAAATTTCATACTAGTAACTGAAAAGCAGAAGTGCCAGAATGATTTTTACTTTTACTTTAATATTATTTACACGTCAAAATATGAAATTAAAAGGGTGAGCATTTAAAAAGATAATAAACAATTTTGATATTTTTTTCTTTGTTCCTGGAACTGAAGAAAAAAATTTGCTAATTGGCTGCATGTCAATGGTTGTGCTTGGGAAACGTGTGTAGGCAGTAGATTACCGAATCTACACAAATTCCATGACGATACAAGACCACGAACATCGAAAAGGCATACTTATAATACTTGAAAACTATCGATTTACTAATAATTAGATAACTATGAAGCTAGTAATAACTATTTGGATAAGCCCATTACTTATAAATTTTATTCTCGTAAAGAGTCCAAACTAATAAAGTACAATAGTATTAAATTTTATTTTCAATAAATTTATAGTGCTGTTTAATTTGAGAAATTATTTTCAGTATTATTTCATAGACAAGACTTATAAATATTTAAATCTTGGCTTATATCATCAATGATTAAAAATACTCTTAAATGCCTTTCAAAATTATGCTAAGAAATTGAATTTATGATTTGTATTCTGTATATTTATACAAGGTGCAACTTTGCAGTAGGTCAAAATTGAATATTTATTCATACAGCAGTTTTAAGGTATGGTGTTGAAGCTTTAAAAAAAAATGTAGGAATCTTTAAGACAGAGAGAAGATATCTGTAAATACTGATACATTCTGGACATACTTTATAAAATTACTTATAGTTGTTTTACATTGACAATTTATTGATCAATTAATTGATGAAGTCGCTTCATCAAGAAATTTGATCAAGTGTAATGCACCAAATCTGCTGTCAAATAACTTCATGAATTTATTCATCAAGTTCTTGACGAATTAGAGCATGTTCTAATTTTCGTCAATTTCTTCGTGAAGTTCGGAAGTACCAACACAACAGATTTCCAGCTTCAGATCAGTAATGAGGCTATGTTATTGGAATATGTAAATAATTGTGTGGTGTCCTACTGTTTTGCATTTTTTTTACTGATTTGTTACTTACAAAAACTAATATTTATATAATATGTGTCAGAACGGTACCGCTGTTGTATCACTACAATTATGAGTGGAAAGGTGACATTTTTGAAATTTATTTGCTTCTTTGATTCATTGGTAGAACTGATTCATACATCAAAAAACTTGACAAAGTCTGTAGCAGTTTAAAACCACACTGTTTACCAATAAATTTGTGAATTAATTAATGAAGAACTTCGTCAATTTATTCATCAATAAATTGTCAATGCAAAACAGCTATTAAGTAAATTTTCTGTTTATTCAAACATGCCATCTCAACAAATTGCTAACTTCCAATGGTATGCCATAATTTTTGTGAAAAAACGTAAACAGTATACCTCACATCTAAGACACTAATTTCAATTAATTAAGTCTTAACTTTGCTTACGTTTAATGGCATTTTACTCATGTATTTTGTACAGAAAATGTTGCTTGTTTAGATAATATTTAGAAGCAACACTTTTCTAAAACTTTAATACGCCATTTCAAAAAATGAAGGCCTCCAGGGCAAATGTTTATATAAGAAAACATTACATTTAGACGAAGGAAAAACACCATAATTTTTGACAAGTCAGTGTTACACTCTGCATAGTGTGTTTCCCATTTTGAAATGAGTGATGTGTTATTTATCATTGTAACATGTAGTCGTAATGGGGTTTCCCATACACAAATAAATAAAAAAAAAATTAACAAGGAAATATTATAAGATACTGAAATTAGTTCTACATAAATTTGATTTATACCATTACCTTACCTGCAAATATCTGGACAAAAATTTTCATGCATTAACACATAATATAAATCTTAATATTGGGCAAGCTTATGTAATGCAAATGAAATTTAAATAACCATGTTATAGCCTACGTAAAAACTAGTTTGAAACCGCTTTAAAAAATAATTTAACAAAAAAAAAATGATTTAATAATTAATTTTATGATTTTCAAAGCAGTTTGGAAAGACGGTTAGTACAAAGTCAAAATTAACCTAGAGCAATCGCAAATGGCTCTAGTGGACTACTTACAGTGCGGGCGTAGGGGGTTGCGTGTTAGAGGTTGCCATCTGGAGTTCACGATCGGAAGGCAGGCCACAACGGGACAGGAAACATAGGGTGGGGTCGACACGCATCGCTGTATAATTCTCATAGCCGTGCTTCCAAGTGCCAATCAGCAGAGACTTGTCACATTCCGAATCCCACCACACGCTAGGTAATTGCTCCGTTACGGGAGGGTATATCGGCAGGGCACTGTGGATTATGTTATGCCAATTGTCAATTTTGATTTCTTTTTTATTAGTCAAGTGCACATAAAGGCACAAATTGTATGTTGAGAAATTTCATGAGAAGGACTCTTTATGACTTGAATTTTCTTACCAGTTACAATTTCACTTCTTTTTTACAAATATTTACTTATAATTTCCCTAGAGCAATGATTTTTCCTAAAACTTTAAATTTAACTAATTTCATGAATGACAGAAAATATTTGTGAAATTTAATATTTACAGCTTTTCAATATACAAGTATTTTTTTTATAACATTAACCTTAATCACTAAAATATGTATGTTCGTCTTTAAAAGAAATTGCATCTATATGACAAGCAACAATGGCAAAAATATAAAGAGAAAACAAATAAAAAATCAATATACAGTGTAGGAAAGTACCGATGGTCTATCAGAAGTTATGTGAGAGCGATAAAGTAAGCCATATAAATCCATGTGATAGACAAGGATGGCTATAATGAAGGCGTCTAATAGTCAACGCCCATTTCGCCCTTCCACAAATAAGAAGTGGATCTTATTTGTGGAAGGGCGAAATGGGCGTTAACTATTAGACACCTTCATTATAGCCATCCTTGTCTATCACATGGATTTCTATGGCTTACTTTATCGCTCTCACGTAACTTCTGATAGACCATCGGTACTTTCCTACACTGTATAGGGTTCCCACTCATTCGTTAAATTATATATATATATTTGCGTGACATTTATTAACCCAGTACATAAGTATCTTTATATTATGCATATATGATGCTGATGTCCAGTTACCAAACTAACAATAACAAAGTCAGGGAAAAAATTTGCAATTGAAGTAATTAATTTTCCATTACCATTTGGGCTTTTTAATATGAATTTAGTAAAAGTAAATTGAGAAAAATTACTATAAAAAAAACGCAGTAGAGAATAACAGACAAATGATGATTATTTATTATAGTACAGAGAACACAAGCGGTAAAACTGAAAATGGAACAAAATGTTTTTAATGGGTTATTCTAAATCAAAGAAATATATTGGCCTGCAAGAATTTTTCTATAATTTTTATAAATTTATAATTTAAATTCCAATTTTCAAGGTCTATATTAATTTTCAACTTTTCCAAGGCGAGTAGTGGAAACCCTGAATATTAAAACTTTTTTAAATAAAATTGTAATTTTATTTAATCATGATTTTTCATACAACTTAATTACTAAAAAATATTTATATAGTTTAGGTACTGACAAAATTGTAACTTTAAAAAATTCAGAGGTCATAAGAGTCCTTAAATGGAAAAATAATGCTCTAGAATCTTAATTTTTTCCTAAAAAAATAATTTGGTATCAAATCAAGTGCCATACCGTCGTCACTTCTCAGTGTAAAATTATAAAGGGTTGGGAACCAAATGACTGGATGTAGATTAGTGTTAATAACAATATATATGTTAAAAATAAGCAACAAAGCTGTGATATATGACTTATAAAATAGAATAGTCTTTATAAAATAAATGTATTGAAGAAATTGATACTGGGCAATTCAGCTAAGCACTAGCATGACTTCAAAGCAGAATCATGCATAATTGTTAAATAAAATAAAAGCAAGGCTCCCAACGATGAAAAACAATTTAGCCAAGATACAATTCCAAAACTGACTTTTCTATTAGTTGAATTACAACATAGTCTTACCTTTAGTAGTCTACAAAGTAAATGACCCTTACAGATTTTTTTTGAGAATAAAACCAAGATGTATCTTAGCTAGGGAGTTATATTTACTGTGGATAATAGAAATCTTACCTTGCGTGAACTCCATCAGCAATATGTTGTACCAAATCTCCAATAATTTCATGTTTGATATAGTATAACATCCGAACTCGTAAGAGTACCCTGTAATTAATTTAAATTTATTTATTTTAGAAATATGTAACATGGAAATTATTATTGAAGTATTAGTTCAGATAACTATGAGAAAAGATAATTTCATAAAATACCTACGTATTTTCTAAATTAGCATGGAGCTCATCACATTTGCATGTTCAAAAAATAAAATTGAAAGAAAATTTATTTTAGATAAAAACAAAAATCAAAATAAAAAGGAGCAATAAAAAAAATATGTAAATCTTAGTGTATCCAACTTATTCCAGAAATATTTGTTGAGACAGATTTCCAAGAAAACTCCTGCGTCACTTTCTTGGAATTAACCGCATTCGACTGAGGTAGAAAGACATTGGCGCTGTGGCATTCACCGTTCATTCGGTTGAAATGATACGGGCTCAAGTTAAAAACAACCTAGCAAAGAAAATGTTTTATTTAAATTCTATCTCAACAAATATCGGACTGACTGTGCATTATTGAAATTATAAATAATACGGATTCCAATTGAGCTGAACATCTATTCGACCATTTATATTTTAAGTAACAATAATCATAATGTGCTCTTATAATTAATTGTATGTATTATTAAATATCACTCTTAGTTTCACTTTTATATGTACAGGCTGGTCCATTTTCGATGGGAATTCAGGGTATTTGAGAAACTACTAAAGATATGATAAATTTGATACGACGTTCTCGAGCTCGATTTTCATGGCAAACCCGACTGTCAAATAGGAAATTTGCTATCTTCATTTGTTTCTGAGTTACAGGGCGTTTCTCGTTACTGTCACATTTTTTAACATGTCTGTATCTCAACTATTAAATAAGTTAGAGTTGAAGTGAAAATTGCTCAAGACTAACTCATTAGCGTAGAATTGAATGCCTGTATTAGATTTTTAGTAGATCTTAAGATTTCGGAGTTATGACCCAAAGTTATATTTTTTTAAATGGAAATCATAGTTGACCATGGCCTAAAAAAATTGAGATTTTTTTTCACTTTTTAGTAATATATCACATGCTAGTTATTTTTACAAACACGGGAAATAGGAATAAGAAAACTATAATTCTTACTTTTACGAAAGTCATATCTGTTATAAAAATATGACGTTTATTTTAAATGCACAACATATACCTACTCGTGTGATAATATAATACTAACGAAATTTTAGGAGATAGGTGGATAGGAACAAACAGACCGATCAGATGGCCAGCTAGGTTACCAGATTTTTTTTTTTTTATTTACCAAATGATGTCTCAGGGGATGCAAGCATCCATAACAGGCATTATAGTTTTTTGGTTCACACAATACAATGTGTTACAATTTAGAAGAAAGTATTCTCAAGATATAAGACATTCAGTACATATACCACGTACACATCAATTCACATTTACACACACACACACACGCACACGCACACGCACTCGCACTCGCACTCGCACTCACACTCACACACTCACACACACACACACACACACATATATATCTATTACATGACAACATCATCTACATTTACATTGACATCCAATATATACTGCTTCATACGTTTTTTAAAACCTTGTAGGCTAGGGTTGTTTTTTAATTGAATTGGAAGTTCGTTATACCAATTTAGTGGTTGACAAGTAATTCTTTTGTTCCCAAAATTTGAATGAGTTGTTGTTATATGATAATTTCGATTTATTCTAGTATTACACCCATGTATTTGATTATTATGTGTAAGTTTTATATCGGTTTCAAGGAGTTTATTCTGTATTTTGTATACCAGAACGATACTTTCGTATGTTGTGGTTTCTCGTATATTCATTATTTTTAGTTCACTATACAATTGTTTGGTATTAGTACGGTTAAATTTGTTAAAGAGAGTTTTTATAAGTCTATTTTGTGCTACTTGTAGGTTATCTAGATCCTGTTCTCTTGCCCTCCCCCAAAATTGTGTTAAATAGCTTAGATGAGACTTAACATGAGCGTTGTAGATTAGGTATTTTGTGTTTGTATTCAATCTAAATGAGAATTTTCTGACATGATAGCTTAATTTTCTCAACTTGTTACATAATTTCTCAGTGTGTTGTCCAAAATTTAGTTTATCATCAATAGTTAGCCCAAGGTATTTCATATGTTTGACTTGCTCTATTTCAATATTATAAATTTCAAGTGATAGATTATTATTTGTTTCCTTTGGGTTAAAGATCATATATTTACATTTGTTTTCGTTCAATTTTATATGATTTTTGTCAGTCCATTGGCATATTTCATCCAGATCCTTTTGAGCTTTTTTGTAAACATCCCCTAGCCTACCAGAGTAGAACAGTGCCGTGTCATCGGCAAACAAAGTTATTTTGCCACATAAACTATTATCACAAAGGTCGTTAATATAGATTAAGAACAGTACCGGTCCCAAAACCGAGCCTTGCGGGACTCCACTTTTTACCAAGAGTTTCTCACTTTCCACTCCGTTCACAACTGTCATTTGAATTCTGTTTGTTAAGTAGTTAGTAAATAAATGATGAGCTGGTCCTTATATTCCAAGTTGTTCCATTTTTTTAAGAAGAATTTGATGATCTACAACATCAAAGGCTTTACATAGGTCAAGAAAAACAGCCATTACTGTATTTTTATCGTCTATTTCCTTGTATGTGTATTCAAATATATTTGTTATTGCTGTAAGGGTGTTTTTCTTTTGGAGGAACCCGTTTTGTTTGTTACTTATAAATTCTATGTCGTATAGATATTTTACCAATCTTGACTTTAGAACAATCTCATATATTTTTGCAAAAACAGGTAGAACTGTTATTGGTCGATAATTGTTTGGGATGTTGTGGGCTCCTGCCTTGTGGATTGGTGTTACTCTTCCTAGTTTCAGTTGATCGGGAAAGTCACTGTTCTCAATACATGTATTTATTATAGTACTAATGATAGGCGCTAAGACGTCTACTAACTTCTTTATTGTGCCTGCCTTTATCCTATCATATCCCGGAGATGCATTACATTTTAGGGACCGTATAATTTTTTCTATTTCTTCGGATGTCGTTTTGGGGAGAAACATCGATGCTGTCTGCCTGCGATTCAATGTGCATTGTATGCCTTGTTTTGTTGGTCCTTGTTGTTTTCCAAACGCTTTTGCTACACTCACAAAATGGTGGTTGAGAGTGTCAGCAATTTTCGTATCATCTTCTGTATCTGTTCCATTTTCAGTTTTCATTTTATTGATCTTTTTCTTGTTATCAGTTTTTACTAGGTCATTAATAACACTCCATTGTTTGTCGGATTTGAGGCCGTTGGACTTTTTCCTTTGGGGTTTTCTAAAAGACATTATATTTATAATTCCTTTTAATAATATTTCAAATATACATTTAGTGAATGCTACCCGAAACGTTGCCAGAAGATGCGTGAAATGTGTGACAGTTGAGGGACGGCAATTTTAACATTTAGCTATCATTTTTGAAAGTTTTTATTGATGTAGGTACTTACTATTGTTTAATTTACGTTTAATATTGTAACTTCAAAAATTTGAAAACTGTCTTTTATTATCTGTAATATATATTTTAAATAAACGTCATATTTTTACTACAGATATGAGTTTTGTAAAAGTAAGAATTACAGTTTTGTCTGTATTTTCATAGCCAGCCATATTAAAATGTAAAAAAGGATCGAATTTGTATATAAAACACCCCGTTTTTTCTGTGTTTGGAAAAATATCTATAGCATGTGATATATTGCTGAAAAGCAAAAAAAATCTCCATTTATTTAGGTCATGACCAGCTACGATTTCCATTTAAAAAAATATAACTTTGGGTCATAACTCCGGGATCTTAAGACCTACTAAAAATCTAATACCAGCATTCAATTCTACGCCAAAGAATTAGTCTTGAGCAGTTTTCACTTTAACTCGAACTTATTTAACAGCTGAGATGCAGACATGTTCAAAAGTGTCACAATAACGAGAAACGCCCTGTAACTCAGAAACAAATGAAGATAGCAAATTTCTGATTTGGCAGTCGAGTTTGCCATGAAAATCGAGCTCGAGAACATGGTGTCAGATTTATCATATCTTTAGTAGTTTCTGAGATACCCTGAAATCCCACCGAAAATGGACCAGCCTGTACATATGTATGTATATTTCGAAACTGTTAGACGACTGTCTAAGTTGAAGAACAAAATCTTAAAATATGCATACCCGACTATATTTTAAGATTTTGTTATACAGGGTGGTCCCGAGGTAATGGGCTAAAATTCATGGGTAGATTCCCGAAGCAAAAATATTGCGATTTAGCCGAACTTACTTTAGTACAAAAGTTGATAGTTAGAGATACAGGGTGTTAAATGTAAAATATTATTTTAGTTTATTTCCATTTATTTCTTAATAAATGCAAATATCTATACAAAATTTTGGGGTATTGGGTTCTTTGGATAGAGGAATTGAAATTTGTTCACATTTTGGTTATAGTTCATAGAGGGCGCCAGCTGGCGTAGATTGTAGGTGTTGGAAACAACATAACTTTTTTGTACTTTAAAGTATCTCATCTTTGGTATCAAATTCTTATTTTCCAACTTTTTTTACACAAAAAAGGTAGATTTTATGAAAGTAGCTGTCTCGCACCGTTTCCGAGATATTTGGCTTTGAAACTTCCAAACAATAGTTGAAATAATTAAAATAATTTAGAAATGTCAAAACAAGGGTTTATTTAGAATTAAAAATTGTAATGAACAGTAAAATAGTAAACATTAGTAAAAAAATATGCATTTTTGACAATAATTGCTCAGAATGTCCACCTCTAACTTCAATACATTTATCAACACGTTTATTAAAAGATTGTCTTATTTTAAAGTATAAATCCTTAATGTGAAATGACTTTGCAGCATTTAAAACCTGCTACTGAAGTTCTTCTCAAGTGTTTATAGTTTCTCCATAAACAACTGATTTTATGTAACTCCAAAAACAAAAACCTTGGCATTCTATCTCACATTTATGTATAGGAGTACCTATACAATTTAATTTGTAAGCTAAGATGTAATTTTAATAAGACACGAATAATACTAATAGAAATTAGCATACAAATGACAGCAATAAGACAAGTGGAAGACGTCAATTATTTAATTTTCGTCCAAATCCTACTTAAGAAACTTTACCGCTAAATTAATAATACCTGTAGGTACTTAATTGTAATTTAATGCAACAGCATTGGAAGTTTCAAAGCCAAATATCTCGAAAACGGTGCGAGATAGCTACTTTAATAAAGTATACCTTTTTT